TTACAAATGCTGACACGCCGAGCTCAAAAGGTTCGCCATCACTGCTCTTGGAGGACAAAAACACACAATACCTATCTCTGGACTGATAGCCAGCCATATGCACTGATAGCCAGTCATATGCAGCCATATGCAGTTATACAGCCAAACCAGTCATTGAAAAATTGAACCGCTTTCTTACACCTTACACCAAATAGCTGTTGCCCTTAAAAACCCTCCTCCGCCCCCACCTTAGGTTCTGGCTTCGCAGTTCACCCAGATTAGGTTCTGGTTGGTTGGTTTCTATGCCAGTCAGTGTCAAAAGCACTGCCTCCTAGGCAGCCATTGGCTCCTCACAGTTCACCCAGATTTGGTTCTGATTGGTTGGTTTCTATGCCAGTCAGTGTCTCCAGGCCTATCTCCCAGCCTGTTCAGAGAGGCGGGGCTGATCAGCAGCCTCCACGACTGCTGGTGAGGCCCAGAAAGAAAGAGAGGCATGGCTGCTGCTGAGGCCCAGAGAGTGAGAAAGGCAAGGGCTGATCAAAAGCTGCCATGGAGGCTGTGGATCAGACCCTGCTTCTCTCTCTGGGCCTGATCCGCAGCCCCCTTGGCTGTCATTGCTGTGTCGTGGCGCCCGCAGCAGTGGCAGTCAGTGCTGGTTGCCATGGCTGCAGGACTGATTTCCAGTGTTTGGTTGTCCGTTTGGTCGTTTTGGATGTTATGGACCCTGGCTCTTTATATATAAATATATATATATTTATAGACAGATAGATAGATAGATAGATAGATCTTTTTTCCTACCCCAAAAGTATTTATTGAGAACTTGTCATTCAGAGTACTATTTTTGGCCCTGCAGAATATTCAGATATAAATAATGCACATTTCTTCTCAAATCATACAGAATAACACACGTTTTATTTTATTGCTATAATACAAAGTAGGTCATAAATGATTTTAAAAAAGTGTTGAGGGTGTTTCAAAGGAAAGAACCTCAATGATGGGGAGTCAGGAAAGATTTCATAGAGGAGGTGATGTCTGAGACAGGCCTGGATTAATGAATAGGATTGTTATAGACATAGGAATAACAAGAAGAAGTTGAGAGGGAACATAGAGTATGTATAGAGAAGTGAGTAGTACAACTTCCTCCAGTGAGAGGGTAATGTTTCCGAGGAATTGAAAGTACTTTTGAAAAGATAAAAGAGCTCCTAAGGCAAAATTCCTTAACTGTACAATAAAAATTTATTTAATTATGTTGGAAACTATTACATTATGTTGGAAGTAGTAAACTCTATTTTGAGTAGTAAGGTAGTAAAGTTAGAGCTTTAGTTTAGGAAATTAATCTGACCCTTATATATAAGATGGGTTAGGGTAATGAGAGACCTAAAGTACAGATGCCATTCATTTTCAATTCATGCATTCATTCAGCAAATATTTATCGACTTGTTATGATACTAATTTAATAGTCTAAATGAGAAGTAATAGTTTGTACTGGAGTAGTGGCATAAATGGTAATATGGAGGGAAATGATGCCAGAGATATTGTGAGGTAAGGGAGGTAGAATTAATAAGACTTAGCAACAGATAAAAAAGAGGAATAGGATTCAAAGATATTGTCAACAATTAGAGAATGATAATGCCTTTTTAACAGAAGTATGTTGGGAGGTCTTTGTGAAGATGAAAATTTTGTTTTTAGGCATGTTAAGTTTGAGGTGCTGGTAAAACATCGAGATAGAGATGTTTAGCTGGTAATACAAAATATAAGACAAGCTGAGGAAGGAGCCCAGGGTTAGAGAGATTAGTAGATACTAGTTGAAACAATGCAAGTTGATGAATTCACCAAGGAAAAGAACAGAAATAGAAGACGACTAGAGACAGACCCGTGATAAATATGTTCCTATAGGAAAGTAAAGTAAATAGTAGTGGAACCATTGGGAAGAGTGATTGGAGAGGTAAGAGTTAAACCAAAATACTTTAGTCGGTCACCTTCCTCATCTATGGACTCTGTTAAGTTCTCTCTCAATGAACCAGACCCTTCTGTGGGAGAGGAATTAAATCAGGACGCTGAGCAAACAGACCAAGAATCCATACTTTATTCAATTTGTTTAAGCTTAGAGAGAGAATACCATTATAAATCGAATGTTGGAATTTAAAAAACTCATATTCATTTTTAGTACAGTTCTGGTTGCTAAATTATTTTCTATCCACAAGTTACTCAAGGGTAAAGCTTATACTGAGGCAGAAGTAGCAAATTGGCCTTTATTCCTTCATTAGCTGAATGTAAGTACCTTGCTAACAAGTTAAAGGCAGACTGTTTTCTTAAACATGACTAAGTTAGTCAAAGGGAGAAGTCTTGCTAGTAAATAATGGCATTTGGATAGACTATTTTTAGAGTGAATTCCACTCTTTCTTGAAACACAGATTTCTGTTACTTGGTGATAGGTAACATCAGGATATGAAATCTAAATCAATCTAATGTCCTTAAGGACAGAGTTATTTTTACAAGGCTAATATTTGATTCTCTGTCAACAAATAATTAATGCCTATAGTTTGTAAACTGTTGTACTAACCTCTTATAAACTAGTTAAAAGTAATTAGAAATGAATATAGAAAAATTAATCCTCGGAGGGATCCAACATGACAGAATGGGTAAATGTTGTCCTTACCTCCTCCCATGACTATATCAAAATTACAACTCAGTTATCTGGAGAACTATTTGAAGAATAGCTGAACAGAAGTTTTATAACTGAGGACATAAAGAAGAAGCCACGTCTAGACCTGTATGAGGGACAGAGATGTGAAACACCCCTGGATACATGAGTAGGGGTTGAGAATCCAGAGCGATATTTCAGCTGTAGAGGACCCCGTTAGGGCATGGGGACCTCAGCCTGCCACCAGGTTCCTCAACTCAAAGCACCACTGCTGGGAAGAGTAGCCCATGAAACATCTGGCTGTGAAAATCATCTGGGATTTGGTCTACTGGGCTAAGACAGAAGGCTAATAGAAACCCAGGCATGCTGTTAAAGGGCCAACACACAAAATTTTGCTCACAAACACACCTTGGGCTTCCAAGGAGGGGGCAGCAGCTCAGAGATTACCAGAATCATACAGGGAGAGACTGAGTTTTG